TATTTACTTATTATATATATGTTATTTAGTATATAATAACTAATTAATAATTATTAATATATACTATACTTATTATTACTTATTATATATATATATATATATATATATATATATATATACATCCTAGATCTTTAGCATATGTTAGATACAAAGCACATATTTAGCTAGTTTTAAATATGTCCTAGATCTTTAGCCCTTGTTAAATATGTCCTGGATGTTTAGCCAGTGTTAAGTATGTCTTTGCCTGCACTAAATACAAGTCCCATATTAGCATACACTAAACACATTCCAAAAACCTATGTCTGCACTAAGCAATAAATTGTAGCTTCTGTAATTTATCATTTAGCAACCAAATTCCTAACTATTACTTTACATTAATCAGATAATCTTTGCATTATGAATGATTAATTACTAGTCAAAAAATATTTAAATGACCAGTATTTTATTTTTATAGTTTTCTTGGTGTTTGGCAAGTTAACTAAAACTCAGATCATGTACAAAAGAAAAAAACAAGTTAATACTTAAACTTTTTTTTAAATCCCTCTTTTTCAACAATACTCAGTGTTCAAGACAGCATATAATTTCTAAATGTTACATTGTTGTTTTCTGTTTTATATTATCTAAGTTCTGTTGCTGTGCTAAAACCCAGAAATGAAAACATTGTTTATCAAAAATATTTTTTTACAGGTAATTAGTCATTTTCAAAGTAAATATGATTGGTTTTAATACTCCAATTTCATTCAAGCAAATAATGTTTGCTTATGATACCTAGCAATGTTGTGACACCGAGGTAGTATTAAGTGGCAAGTTCTAGACCTTTAGAAAAAATCCCAAATTGTTAGATTCTGTTAAATAAAACTGTAGACACTTAAAGTAGCTTACATTAGAAACTATACACTCTTGACTGAGACTATGCATGTAACAATATGTTCTAAACCCTTTACCAGTATTATTTACTTCTTAACCTTTAGTTGAATTGAGGGATAGTAGTAACCTGTATTAAAATCCATTAACCCATTAACTGCAGCAGGAGCAGCTCAGTTGCCATTTTCTGACTCACAGATAAAACTGAGTTGCCATCAATCACAATAAAACAGTAATTTTCATCATTCGCGTAGAGTTATAGTTATATATGTGCGACTGACAGATATTTACATGAATAGCCTATATAAGTAGTAAATACACTTAGGTCTTTAGGTTGCATCAGCTGGAGATCTCAGACTCTTAGCTGACACTAGAAACATCATTAATCCAATTTTAAAATGACCTTATAGGTTTCTGGTTTCATGGTTATTTTTTAGGTTGACAGACTTAGGTGGTATTGCTGTGAACAAGCCAAGAGCTAATACAGTTTCTCCTGGAATACATGCATCTACTTCACCAATAGATACACCATTAATTCAACGATCTCACTCGGCATTACAGTTGGATATGTTGGATTCCCCAAGTAATCCAACTGAACAGTCTACTATGGTGAGTTTTCACAGAGGCTATAAGTTTTTAATGAACTTAGGAAAACTATTGCTGTTAGAGCTCAAAAGCTAACCAAGGTTCATTCTAAGTAAGAGTAAAATCAAATATATACAACGATATGCATTTTCAAATAATTACTAATTGACAGTATTGAAAAAATATATTAATAAGAAACATTAATTATTATTTTTTTAAAGATATTACTTCTAAGGAAAAATAGATTACTTTAACTCTTTCTATGTTGGGTTGGTCGATGTGACTGACCTTGTAACAACAAAGTAACCGTTTACTATAACTTTTAATATGTTATGTGTATCTTCACAAAATTTGGCAAGCTTCCAGTAAACATTACAAGTTTTTTTGCACACAAATAAATTTGATATTTTTTTTATAACTAAGCATTTTTACTAAAGATTTGTCCATAAATATATGGAGTTGAGCGTAAAGTGATTTTCATGTTAAGATTAAGAAATACTTTTCTTCATCTTTCAAATTTCATTTGCATAACCCTTAAAACCTCATAAATAAATATCAATCTTTTTTGTCATAAAAAACTTTATATTCTGACAAGGTACCTTATTTCCACTCAGATACATAGCTATTCTTGTTCAGTGCTGCTCTCTATTTGCAAAAAATGTTTCACATCCCACTAGAATTTCACTCCCATGGACCCCCTGATTCACATGGTTTAACTGATTCTCGTATGCAAATTATCATGCAACAAACCTCCACCAATAGTAGTGCCACACACCCACATGACTCGTGAATCCCTCTATGCTATTTTACATAACTACCACTTCTTATTTGGCAGTGCTAGTGTTCAGACGTTTAGTTTGTGCTCTCTTCAGGTGTTTTTTTTTTTTCATATCTTTGTATCAATTTCTCTCACTAAGTTTACTATTTACTATACAATAGTGATAATTGTAACTTATTCTGAAGTGGAATTATTTTATATTTCTATCTAGTTACAAAACTTAATACTTCATTATAAACCCCTCTGAATATGAATTCCACATTCTCAGTTACTACTTCAGAGGTTATATCTTATATCAACACATTTACACAGGCTTCAGGTGGTGGTCCTTGACTAGGGAATTATTGGCTTTACTTTGTCAGGAGATTGACCATCCAAGGATCTGACCTATGTCGGGCCTTGACTCGAGTTTGGGGACCCACACATTTTGAAATATGGTCCGCTGACTTTGGAAAGAGAAGGCATTATACTGTTATGGTTTTTGAATATTTTTACAGTTAATATTATTATTATCTGTAGTTATTTGTGTTCAATAACATTAGCATAATTAGATTGGTCAATACTCATAGTTATATTCGGGTTTGAAATTAGAGTTTAGTTATATCCTTTGACCTATAATGTTAGATTATGCTTAACATGGATGTTATTTTAGGGTTACCTGTAATTCATCTTATTGGTATATCATAAATTAGATTAACTATATTGTTTTTTCTTCAAAACATCACATCTCATACATATCTTTTTGTCGATACACATTTACGTAATTTTACAATATAATGTCTATTTCATTTTCGTTGTTATTTATCTGTTATAATTCATCATATTTACTTTGTTTGTTTGTGTGGACCCTGGAGCCAGGCTCCACACAAACTCCTCCCAATATTGTATGTATTATTGTTAGGTTAGGGTTTTTAAATTAGTGCTTAGTGATATACACTGAGTGGTCACAAGTAAATAGACACCTACTTTTTCGTCATTTAACTGATTTATGCTGACTAATTTGTGTTCACAGAGCATTATATAAATGAAAATAGTCCGCACACTAATTATCTTGTGCTACAACATGCCTAGAACTCAAGGTTCTCTCGAATTGTCAGATTTTGTTAGAGGAAGGATAGTT